CCATTTTCAAGTGTGAATTTAATGATATATTTATAGGGTTAGTCTGATATTTGACATATAATATATTTCTATCATTGTTTGTAATTACAGTTTCATTAGTGTCTGGTTTAAATTTTATAAGTGTCTGTAAATCAAGAACATCATTTGATGTATTAAATAAGATATCGTTTGTTTCTATCAAGTAATTACTAGTTTCTATTAGCAAATCATTAGTTTCAATCAAGTTATTGCTAGTTTCAATGGTTTTAATTTCAAGAGCGTTTGTTTGTTGAAATAGGAGTGTGACCTCATCATTGAGCACATTTACATTCCCATATAAAACAGTAATATCAGCATTAATGGCATCTAATTCAGGCTGCAATGTGGTTTGATTGTTATTGCCTATGTATTGATATGGTTGATGATTATTATTATTACATGCCATGTCTATTTTATTAATTAAAATATTAAAATATAAGTTTGACAGGGTTATGTATTATCAATATTCCAGAAGTTTGTTTTAAAGCTCTAGCGGTTTCTTTATGCGTTTTAAGGTATTCTATATCATCTTGAGTAATAAGATTAGCATTTAAGAGCGTGGATAATGCTTTATCATCGCGTAGTATTTTAAGAAGAATGTCCTGTATATAGTTAATATAATCACGTTTATATTTTCTGTATTGTTTCATATAGATATCTTTATTCATTTTGATTTTTGGAGAGAAAAAGAATAATAACCTTTTATCTTGCTACGCAAGCAAAAGCTTAACCAAAAGAATAATAGAAACGATAGGCTGGTAGAGGGGGGGGTAAAGTAGACCCCCCCTTTGGCATAAGTCTTTCAGCTCTAAGGTTTTATAATTACTTTTAAAAATTTGTGCAATACTTTTACAAACCCCCCCTCTACTTTCCCCCCCCCTCTACCAGCTTATCTTTTACTCTCTCTTTTTTTATTAAAGATATTATTATTATTACTATTTTGATAAGAAAAAATAATAAAATATATAGTATATTCATTTATAGAATAGGTAGAGGGGGGGGTAAAGTAGACCCCCCTTTTTGAAAAGTAGTTTACGTTGGAGGTTAGTAACGTAAAAAAAAGAGGTAACGCATAGCAGACCTGGAAGCTACCCCCGGAACCCCCCCTCTACTTTTGGGGTGCCTCTACCGGGCCTTATTTATACTACTCGCGACCCTATTGGTTAAGTGCTGCCCTTTTGGAATTGTTTTTATTAGTGCGTACGGGCCCGCCTAGGCAGGTCAGAGGTCATTGTTTTTTTTTTGAGTCGGTGGGAATCGTGGGAATCGAACCGGGGACTGTATGGGCTAGGAAAAAGGATATGACGACTAGGCCAGGATGCCTTAATACCTTAAAGGGTATAGTTATATATATAGGGGTGTTGGACAAATGTAGAGCATTCACTCAGTGGATGATGTATAAGGTGACATGTGGCACACAGCGATTGAATGGATGGAGAAGAAAGATTAATAGTAGGCATGCATCCTAGCATAAACCCTCCACAATAAAAGGAACCCTCCACAAACCTTCCACATATATTTGAAGAGTGAAATGGTAATAGAGAAAGGGGTTGTGTGGAGGGTGTGGAGGGTTTGGAGGGTGTGGAGGGTTGAAAGTTGAATTGGGGAAAATCAAAAAATATTTAAGAGGAGCAAAATCAAACCCTCCACCCTCCACACCTGCCACGGTGTGCTCAAAGAGCACTGTGCAGAACGGCAAGTTTCATCAATGATGATTGTTTTCTTTTTATTCGGTTCAGGTCATCGGTTGGGTGCCGCAGTGCTCCGGGACCACTGTGCAGACGGCAGAACGGCAGAAGGGAAGAACGGCCATTGGTCACCAAGGGGGGAGCAAGCTCCCGCGGCAAGGCTGCGCCATGCCTTTCCGCCCCCTTGCTGAAATCATGTGAAAGCCTGACGAGAATGATAAGGGAAAGTGATAGAGATAAGAAGGCAGTTGTTCATAGTTGAGTCACGAAGGAAAAGTGTAATACGTCAAAAAAGTCACGAAGAAAAAGTGTGATACCCAAAACGGTCAAATAAGTCAAGTGGTATTAAGCTGCTAGCGGCATATTGGGATTCAGGGGGCTGCACCGGTATATGAAATTCCAGGATTACTGATTAGCGCTTTTAATGACCGGTACTTTTGACTGCTCATATACGGGTACTTGCCCTCGCACAGAAGCACCCTTTTACCCCCATTATCATCTAGTAATAGGGGGTGGGGTATTTGAATTGTCATGGGCGGTAACCTTCAAGACCACCCCACTCCCCTCGAAACTTTTAACAGACGACATGTTTTAAGGCTGCGAAAACGTTTTAGAAGGATACGGATAATCATAAAACAAATATAAATTGGAAACACAGTAGAAAAGAATTAGAAATTCAATACAAATGTTCGAAGGTATTTTGTACCTGATTCAAATTCATGGTGTACTGTGTTTCTGGGTTTGGTACAAGAATGAAGCCACCGGGTCCTTCTCTGCTAGTGCTTTGACAAATAGGGGGTAGGGTAGTCCCCCCTGTTGCCCTGATCCCACCCCACCCATCCTTATTTCAGGGATTTTTAAATGTTTCCTAGAGGCCAGTTGCCACGGCTCTGGTTGAGAGACATGTCATTGGGATCTTGAAATTTACCAATATAGTTTGAACATTGAAATATTGATTAATCATATCAGGACCAAATATATCAAATCCGTCATCCCCACCTTTTGCAAGGAAGTTCGTGCAGACGTCGCAAACCATCACCCTGCCAGGCTGGATGATGATGAATTCAATCAACTCACCTGGGAGTTTCTGGCAAGACGAGAGGGCTTCCTCTATAAACAAGGAGAAGGCCATAGGTTTGAAAAGAGATCATTTGTAAAATTCAAATCTTTGTAACACCTGGGATGCAGGTAGATCTCCTGAGTTGTTGCTTCGAATCTTACTAGAGTCTGAGGAGCATGGAGGTTTTAGTGATCATGTGGATGAAGCCATGCGCGAAGCGATTATTTCCCCTGACTCCGATGAACCAAACCCGGCTTGTTACGATGCTATCAAAGATCCAAAAGTGAAAACAGCGATTCTGACGAAGATCCAGGGTGACACTGATGAGCCTCGGACCTTCTAGATGTGGTCACGAAGAAGGTAGATCGGCAATTTGCATCACACAAGGCCAATTTTCGAGTGAAATGGGGACATTTTGCTGATCTATTACACCGCTACAATGAGGAAGACTCTGCCGGGGGAGAGGAAGCGGTCGAGGGGCCGCGAAAGCAGAACTTCCGAAGTGCAAAACTTCGAAATACGATAGCCTTACGTTCTTCTTAAAGAATGAACTTGCCACGAATAAGGAGCTTCAAAACTGCCTGAAACCTGTGGTCAGACAAATGATGGCTACCCCACGGGAAGCAGCAGTTGCCCTCACAGCAAACGGTATAACGAAATCGCAGTACCAAGGATTCTGTCGTGCAAACGATAGCATGGCTGGCTGCTTTGTTCCTTTGCAAAAAATATCACAGGTAAGAGTGGATGGTGGGACTCATGGTCTCGGCCTTCTTCAACTTGTCGAAGAGTGGATTGATATCTTCAACCTTCACGGGAAACACAACGGCTTGTTGTCACGATCAATGGAGGCTATGACTGTGCAACAATGACATTATCAACTGGCAATCCTAAGAAGGCAACTGAAGTCACCATTTCCATTTTTGTTTCAGGAAAACGTCGAAGAGAGGAAAGAAAACATGAGCCGTTGATGAAGTCGTCCCCAGAAACTTGCTGAGCATGGTGAGTTGGCCCTCAATGTGGAACCGCGGCAAAGCAAGAGAATTACAAATGATTTTGAATACATAAATTTAACCTAAAAGTTTTATTTGCTATCTTTGGCGCGGATGAGCTTGTAAGCTGAAATGGCCTTGGTAAGCCGGCTTAACAGGAACTATTTGGGTCCAGATATTTTTTCCAGTCTAGCCATAACGCTAGATCTTGGCAAATCTGAAAATCAGCCATCCAACCTCGTTAGCGGCAGTTTCTGTCTTCACAAGCTGATTGTCAATGGCCCATACTACCAGTCCCTCGTGGCCGCGAAGCGCAGTTGTGAATCATGAAAGGGTATGTTCAATTACATTTGCACAACAGAGGTTCTTAGAAATGGCTACTACCTTTATTGGGCCCAATCAGTTTGCATGATCTCAGATAGAAACAAAACAGCATTGCACGTATCCTGTATCTCCACATTCAATCTCAAAGGAGCTTCTTCTGATGCAGCAAGACAACGAGTCTTTGGTTTTCCTCTCAGCTGCAGCCACCATTGTTTAAATTCCAATTGCCAGTGAAGTTCAACGGTATTGCTAAGTTGAACGACTCCACTCAAGACATTGGCTTGCAGTTGTCTGAAGATATCCTTGGTGTAAAGAATGTAAACATCTACATGACTCTCGATTACTTTTTGTCTTATACCATGCCCGAGTTGTTTGTTTGAGTCACCGTCCAAGAACGAGATTCCCATACTTGGTTTTAGAAAGTCACGCGTTTGCGACTCTCAACTACCACGAAGCACAAGTTGAGGAGCGCCAGTGTCTTGCTGGAATAACATCCGAGAGAAGAAAAAAGGGATTTTGATCAATTGAGGTACTCCCATCTTGGGCGGCAACTCATCGGGAGGAACAACAACTGGGAGGTGGGATGCGAGGCTAGCGGCGGGAACCGGGCCGAGTAGAAGCTTGTAAATCCGTGCCCGCCCCAGAGATTCAAATACCCGAAAAATGTGCTCACAACTTGCATTGCAGGGGGCAGGGGATGGCAGACATGAGGAGAGGGAGGAGGAGAAGGAGGAGAAGGAGAAGCAGAGAAGAGATGGACATGTGCAAAGGAAGAAACAGCAAGATTGCTCTAGATCTTAGTCGTTCATGCTCATTGCAACCTTCCCTTTGCTGACGCCGCGACACAAACTGACTGGCATGGTTCTAAGATGTTGGATGATCTGCATGCTGTTATGAACAAGCTCCACGAGGCCTTCGCGCCTCTCAAGATTCCTCCCATCGACCTCCCGCAGATTGCTGTGGTGCGGCCCTGCATCAGTGTGGGCCAACGATTCTGACCTATGCCATACGTTTTCGACCAGGTTGGGAGCCAGAGCAGCGGGAAAAGCAGCGTGTTAGAGAGCATAGTGGGGTATGACTTCCTGCCTCGAGGATCCGGCATCTGTACCAGACGTCCATTGATCATTCAGGTAAGATCCTGCCCGCCCAACTCGATCTAATCGAACTCCCCTTCCACTGTTGCACTTACTCTTCTCCTTCCCTCCATGAAACTTTGCTATTGATGATGCCTTGCGCCAGTTGACCTGCTGCGACGTGCAAGACTATGCCGAGTTCTCGCACTTGGAGGGGAGGATCACGGACTTCGAGAAGGTGCGGGAAGTGATTGATAAAGAGACAGACAAGGTGGCAGGCAAGCAGAAAGGGGTCTCTGAAGTCCCTCTCATTCTCAAGTTCTTCGGGAGGAACTTCCCCAACCTCAGCCTCGTCGACCTGCCCGGCCTCACGATGGTGCCTGTCGCCGACCAGCCTGCGAACATCGGGCAGCTCATAAGAGAGATGGTGATGGGCTTCATCAGCAGGCCCAACTGCATCATCCTCGCTGTCTCCGCTGCCAACCAGGACATTGCGAACTCGGACGCTCTGCACACAGCAAGAATGGTCGATCCTGACGGTCTCCGAACGCTGGGGGTGCTGACGAAGGTGGACCTGATGGATGAAGGGACGGACGCGCGAGACATTCTCATGGGGAAGATGTATCCGCTGAGGCTGGGGTACATCCCTGTGGTGAACAGGAGCCAGAAAGACATCAACGACAAGAAACCGATGCAGGAGAGCCTCAAGGCAGAGCAGCTGTTCTTTGAGAACCATCCTGTCTACCGCAACTCCAAGTTCGAGAAGGTGGTCGCCTCGTGCGTTGTGACTGCTGCCCTGACTCTGCTGCATCCCAGGGGATCCCGATGCTGTCCAAGAGGCTGAGCTCAGTGCTGGAGGCACACATTCGTACCCAGCTCCCGGAGATCAGCAAGAAGATCAAGAGCATGCTCCGAGAGACCCAGGAGGACCTCGTGCGCTATGGCGTCAGAGGGCCGAGCACGCCGTTCGAGTGCCGCAGCACGGTAATGAAGGCGATCCAAGAGTTCTGCGAGAAGTTCCGGGAGGCCATGAATGGCGAGAGTCGCCGCAACACCTACAAGGGGCTGTTTGGCCCTGCCAGGATCCGAGAGATCTTCCGGAACGAGTTCCCGCAGGAGGTCGCTTCGCTGGACGCATCCTACCTGTCGGACAAGGAGATCCAGATGGCTCGCAGGAACGCCGTAGGCCTGCACGCCGATCTCTTCGTGCCCAACTCAGCATTCGAGGTTTCTATGTGTCCTGCAAAGCTCTCTTTGTCCATTTTTGTCACTGATCTAGTCTCCTCCTCCCCCGACGGAAACCCTCTCGTTGTCGTTGCGATGTCATGCTTCCCTCCCTCCCTCCCTCCCTCCCTCCCTCCCCCCCTCCCTCCCTTGTTCTCCCGAGCTGGCTAGTAACGTCAGTGCGCCAGACGTTGATCAAGAGGCTCATCGACATGCTGCATGACCCGACCTCTACCTGCGTGCAGAAAGTTTCCGATGAGATCGACACTCTGTTCCATCAGACCATATCTGACTGCAAGTTCCTCTCGCGGTTCGCAGAGCTGAAGCAGGTTCGTAACGACCCGCAGCATTGACCCCGGCTGCCTCTCATTCACTCTGAGCAGACGATCTCGCTAGAATGCCGCTCGCTCCTGAATGTCAAGACCACGGCTGCTGCAGAGTTTGCTCGCAACCTTGTTGAGATGGAGAAGAGTTATGTCAACACTGAGCACCCCAACTTCATCAACTATCGTGACACCGTCTACAAACAAACTCACATGAATGCCCTCCCTGCTCAAACTCAACCTCCGTCGCAAACAACGACATATCATGTGAGTCACATTGCGAGATGACGACGAAGATGACGATGATGAAAATCATGGTGTTTGTGATGGTAAATACCATTGATGGCGATTTTTGATGACGATGATGATGTTGAAGAAGATATGATTACAGCGTTCGACATGCATGAATGACAACTCTCTTGCACTCAGAGCGGAAGGACCGAGAAGGAGAATGTCTCGCAGCAGCAGTCAGCAGCGGAACACTGCTCCGCCTACATCGGTCGGGAGTGGCAGGACGTCGAGCTCAAGCTTGACGGGCAGGAGCTGCGGCTGATCCCCAAGTCCAACCCCCACGGGACGCAAACTGTTCCGCTGCTGGGAAGCAACATCTCTGTGCGGGAGCTCTGGGATGGGGGTCAACAGATCTCGATCCGGTATCAATCGTCGAAGGGATGGGTGCTGCACAGCACCGACGAGGTAGAGGAGGAGCGGTTCCTGCTGCAGCCACCGCTGACTAGGAAGCAGATGCAGCTCAAGATCTCTGACGGCCAGAGCGCGAGCAGATGGGTCATGATGTTCAAGGTGAATTGACCCCGCAAGGATGCGCTTCCTGCTTCGGCGCAGCCTGACTGGCTTGGTTGCCTGCCAGAGAGCAGCGGAGGGCGAGGAGGTCGTGCAAGTGCCAAGATCTCCCCATCGGGGGGCAGGTGATGCTTGCGTCACTGGTGCTGCTGGTTTCTGACTTGCCCGGCAAGTCACTGTAGGAGAAAGTTCGACAGCGCTGAGGGAAAGGAGGATGGCGGGGTCGATAGGAAATTGCGGAGAAGTCCGGTAGAATCTCCAAACACTTGCCCTCCCCTCCTTCCTCCTTCCTCCTTCCTCCTTCTTCTCTTGTATGCTGTAGCTTACATCGTTTCAGCGACGTCTCTGAATCAGGCATTCTGCGACAGCTGCTACAGCAGTACTTCGAGTAAGTTCCGAAAACCCTCCCCCCCCCCTTTTTCGCCCCCCCCCCCCCCCCCCCCCCCCCCCCCCCCCCCCCCTCCTCCTCCTCCTCCCTATCCTCTTAACTTGCCCATCCAGGCTGGTCAAACGTTCGACGACGGACTCGATTCCCAAGGCGCTCATGCTCAAGCTTGTCCAGTCGTTCGAGACGAACCTGTACCCTCATCTCATGCAGGTCAACCGCACGTCTCCTGCTCTTGTCTTGCGCCCAGCTGACGTGACAACACAAGGCGATCGATCTCGACAACGACGAGGTGGTGGCTGACTTGACCAAGGAGTCGCTGGAGATTGTCCGTCGACGTCAAGGTGCGAGCTAGCGGGGATGGGAGCGAGTCGATCTCACTGGGTAGCAGAGGTGGACAGACTGGAGGGAGCACTAAGGAAGGCGATCCTTGTTCTCCGAGAGCTCTGAGTCGTCATATTGTTTTTATTGTTTCGATGATCATGCGAGGGTCTTCATTGAAGTTTCTCATTCCTGAGCTCCGAGCTCACTAGACGTCTAACTCCTCTCACCATCCTGTAGGCCAAGAGACAGCATAGAGCCAGTGACGTGAGGGTACACTTGGCACTTGTTGATACCGTGACCTGAGAGTCGCCTGACGGTAACGAAGCCCGTCGAATCGCCTCAATGTCCATGTTCTTGAGAGGCATCAGGATGTCAGTCCCTCAGCATAGACTCGTCATGGCCTCTTGTCCCCTCACCTTGAGAGCAGACGCGTCTTGCGCCCCTGCACTCGCAGGAGTCTCCATCATTATTCCGCCCCTGCACTCGCAGGAGTCTCCATCATTATTCCGCCCCTGCACTCGCAGGAGTCTCCATCATTATTCCAACTGCCACCTGGCTAAGGGGTAAAGTGAGGGTGCAAGGAGGATATCCTGTAAAGCGGGTCGAGCTACCTCGCAGAGGAGCAGCATGAAGGAGTTGCAGTATCGCAGCATTTCAATCGGCTGACAGTCATATCACAACCCACGTAAAGCCACCCATAAGCATTGTCCCACCGCATGTGACACGAAGTAAATCCCAGGACCGAAATCTCCCTGACCACCAAACAATGTCGTCACACTGGCTGTCGTCGTTGCGTGCCTCCTCTTGGTTCTCCCCTCTTCCTCCTCCTTCACAACCTCTTGCCAGACGTTCCGTTGAAAGCCGTTCTTACAAATACTCGCGTATAGAACCGGGGCCGTAAGCAAACCATGTGAAGGAGGGTGGAGGGTATAGCACCAGGGTGTTAGCAGCCTGTAGAGGGATAGGAAACCGTCTCGTCCTGTACGTGTGTGCAACGTCGCCGAGGCCTCACTCGAACACTTGCCAGATTATCCTCAACCGTGACCGCGATTCAAATTGGCAAGTGATAACTGATACTGATGTCGGAGGCTCTACATCTGATTGACGACCGTGGCAGACTGAAGGATCTGTTTCCGTGCAGAATGCATCATGCGCGGTTGATATATCGCCCATTCGAGTCTAGAATGGGATCAAGACATACTCAAGTTCGTATACCACAATGAGTGATGAAGCGTGACTGTACAGTACGGCCTCCTGAAACAATCGTCGACACGAAATCTCTGATTCAATTTCCGAGTCATTTGATTACAACTTAGGCTCTTGGAAGCCATCTGCCGCCGCGTGCATGTTTGTTTCATGATAGTATGATAAACCTTGACGTCCGAGCCTGGGACAACTTGCCAAGGAATGATAGCCGGGGACATACCGTAGACAGTGACTGCTAACTGAACTTGCCGCTGCCTCGACTCCGGTGACAAGCGACCGCAACTGTGTCAGCCTCAGGCCACAACTAAGTTGCCATGGACTGAGAAAGACCATGAGAGACTGTCACGGTGTACCAAACCTCATACCCGGGCTTCCATCATTACAACCAACTTGGAGACATAGACGGTGTAGTTATCAGATACAATACAACTGGGCCGAATTGAGAAGCTCAGTACCCCACCGCGAAAGGTGGGTCCTACTACTGTAGCTAGAAACAAGGCCAGGGGTCTTGAGTACCACACCCTCCATGAAATGTGTCCGTACCAAGTTTCACTCAACTCGAGCCAGGTGGGAACGATGGGAGGGAAATGCTTCCTGGTTGAACAAGACAAGTCGCAAGTCGAAGGCCCCGCGTGTACCGACAACTTCCAGGTCGTCAAGTTCATGTACGATGGTCTGGAATGGCACTCAGTCGAGCAGTGCTATCAAGCTGCCAAGTACATCACTGATCGCAGGCTGTACATCAGAGACATGCTGCCCAAAGACGGCGAATCGGATGAAGCTTACGGACTCCGCATGTGGGATGAAGGACAATGCTTCACTAGCCAGATGAACCCGCAATGGCTTGATGTGAGGATGCATGTCATGTATCTTATCAACCGCGCGAAGTACCAGCACAATCCAAGTCTCCAGGAGGAGCTGCTTACAACTGGCGACAAGCTGATCTGGGGTAAGCCAAGCACACACGAATGGCAGAAGTGGAACGGCCTCATCCAGATGCGCATCAGGGAGGAGATCCAGAGCAAAGCTCTAGATGGGCCGGCGCTATCTCAGAGCGAGCTGATGGTTGCTTTCCAACCCAACCTCGACAGGTACATCAGCGCAAGGTTGCTTGAGGCGCGTGAATGAATGAAGACCGTGATGGCGCTGCTTTGGTGTACTTGCCAGCCTTCCCATCGACGCAACGATCAGGATGGCAGCACGGAGCTGATTTGATTTATGTATGTGTAATCATAGTAGATAGAGTCACAAGGGAAACCTTTTGCCGCTTATCTATCAATGAGAAGAGTAAGATCATTCTGAGTTGAAGGTTTTGTGCAAGGTTGTGTGTACAACAAGTCCCCCGCAAGGCTGAGCTGGCATTGTGCGTGGAAGTGTGACGCGTATAGAGCCGGGGCCGTAAGCAAACGGCATGTGAAGGAGGGTGGAGGGTATATCACCAGGGTGTTGGCAGCCTGGCGTAGCCCGAGCTCTTCACATCGGACACCGCGCTCTTGATCTTGTGCTGATCGGCGTACTGCGAGACGGAGTAAAGGGGTAGGAAACCGTCTCGTCCTGTACGTGTGTGACATCGGCTCGGACGCGGGGAGCTCGCAATACAGTTTATATATGTGACCAGATTTGAAGTCCTTTTCCTTTCTGCAACTTGAGACATTTCTCTACCCTCTCGACATTGCAACGTCGCCGAGGCCTCACTCGAACACTTGCCAGATTATCCTCAACCGTGACCGCGATTCAAATTGGCAAGTGATAACTGATACTGATGTCGGAGGCTCTACATCTGATTGACGACCGTGGCAGACTGAAGGATCTGTTTCCGTGCAGAATGCATCATGCGCGGTTGATATATCGCCCATTCGAGTCTAGAATGGGATCAAGACATACTCAAGTTCGTATACCACAATGAGTGATGAAGCGTGACTGTACAGTACGGCCTCCTGAAACAATCGTCGACACGAAATCTCTGATTCAATTTCCGAGTCATTTGATTACAACTTAGGCTCTTGGAAGCCATCTGCCGCCGCGTGCATGTTTGTTTCATGATAGTATGATAAACCTTGACGTCCGAGCCTGGGACAACTTGCCAAGGAATGATAGCCGGGGACATACCGTAGACAGTGACTGCTAACTGAACTTGCCGCTGCCTCGACTCCGGTGACAAGCGACCGCAACTGTGTCAGCCTCAGGCCACAACTAAGTTGCCATGGACTGAGAAAGACCATGAGAGACTGTCACGGTGTACCAAACCTCATACCCGGGCTTCCATCATTACAACCAACTTGGAGACATAGACGGTGTAGTTATCAGATACAATACAACTGGGCCGAATTGAGAAGCTCAGTACCCCACCGCGAAAGGTGGGTCCTACTACTGTAGCTAGAAACAAGGCCAGGGGTCTTGAGTACCACACCCTCCATGAAATGTGTCCGTACCAAGTTTCACTCAACTCGAGCCAGGTGGGAACGATGGGAGGGAAATGCTTCCTGGTTGAACAAGACAAGTCGCAAGTCGAAGGCCCCGCGTGTACCGACAACTTCCAGGTCGTCAAGTTCATGTACGATGGTCTGGAATGGCACTCAGTCGAGCAGTGCTATCAAGCTGCCAAGTACATCACTGATCGCAGGCTGTACATCAGAGACATGCTGCCCAAAGACGGCGAATCGGATGAAGCTTACGGACTCCGCATGTGGGATGAAGGACAATGCTTCACTAGCCAGATGAACCCGCAATGGCTTGATGTGAGGATGCATGTCATGTATCTTATCAACCGCGCGAAGTACCAGCACAATCCAAGTCTCCAGGAGGAGCTGCTTACAACTGGCGACAAGCTGATCTGGGGTAAGCCAAGCACACACGAATGGCAGAAGTGGAACGGCCTCATCCAGATGCGCATCAGGGAGGAGATCCAGAGCAAAGCTCTAGATGGGCCGGCGCTATCTCAGAGCGAGCTGATGGTTGCTTTCCAACCCAACCTCGACAGGTACATCAGCGCAAGGTTGCTTGAGGCGCGTGAATGAATGAAGACCGTGATGGCGCTGCTTTGGTGTACTTGCCAGCCTTCCCATCGACGCAACGATCAGGATGGCAGCACGGAGCTGATTTGATTTATGTATGTGTAATCATAGTAGATAGAGTCACAAGGGAAACCTTTTGCCGCTTATCTATCAATGAGAAGAGTAAGATCATTCTGAGTTGAAGGTTTTGTGCAAGGTTGTGTGTACAACAAGTCCCCCGCAAGGCTGAGCTGGCATTGTGCGTGGAAGTGTGACGCGTATAGAGCCGGGGCCGTACGGTAAGCAAACGGCATGTGAAGAAGGGTGGAGGGTATATCACCAGGGCGTTGGCAGCCTGGCGTAGCCCGAGCTCGTTACATCGGACACCGCGCTCTTGATCTCGTGCTGATCGGCGTACTGCGAGACGGAGTAAAGGGGTAGGAAACCGTCTCGTCCTGTACGTGTGTGACATCGGCTCGGACGCGGGCAATACAGTTTATATATGTGACCAGATTTGAAGTCCTTTTCCTTTCTGCAACTTGAGACATTTCTCTACCCTCTCGACATTGCAACGTCGCCGAGGCCTCACTCGAACACTTGCCAGATTATCCTCAACCGTGACCGCGATTCAAATTGGCAAGTGATAACTGATACTGATGTCGGAGGCTCTACATCTGATTGACGACCGTGGCAGACTGAAGGATCTGTTTCCGTGCAGAATGCATCATGCGCGGTTGATATATCGCCCATTCGAGTCTAGAATAGGATCAAGACATACTCAAGTTCGTATACCACAATGAGTGATGAAGCGTGACTGTACAGTACGGCCTCCTGAAACAATCGTCGACACGAAATCTCTGATTCACTGAGTCACTCATTTGATTACAACTTAGGCTCTTGGAAGCCATCTGCCGCCGCGTGCATGTTTGTTTCATGATAGTATGATAAACCTTGACGTCCGAGCCTGCCAGACAACTTGCCAAGGAATGATAGCCGGGAACATACCGTAGACAGTGACTGCTAACTGAACTTGCCGCTGCCGCTGCCCGCCCTTGACTCCGGGTGACAAGCGACCGTAACTGTGTCAGCCTCAGGCCGCAACTAAGTTGCCATGGACTGAGAAAGACCATGAGAGACGTACCGTACTGACTCAGTGAGTACCCCTGGGCCCGGGGCCCCGGCGACCCCCGGGAACAATCAGCCTCAGGCTGCGGCAACACTGCCATCATCTACGATAGTGGAGTCCGATCGAGGAGGCGCTTGACCCTCTTTACTCAAAGTTAAGTTAAAAATCAGTACGAGGACAATCAGGAGAGTCGAGGAGGCTTGACCCTGACACTGTCGCACAGGCCAAACGGCGAGAAGACTCCGTCGGACGCTGACTCGTGAGTCTTTTCTCTTCTCGCCGTTTCAAGTTTGGCAAGCCGGGGCCAGTGCGACTCAGACCGGCCCGGCTGGTTCAGTGTCAGCCGCTGAGCCTGGGGTCAAGGCGGGCCTCCTCCGAGCTCGTCTCTCCTGATTGTCCTCGTACTAACTTTGAGTCAATAAAGCCAGTGCTGACTCTTCGGCAAGCACAGAGAGGAGGTATGGGGATGAGCGAAGATGGAGGCACGGGTATAGCTAAGGGATGATAAGACATGATATGCAGACTGAAGTTTGTATCTGATGGATGAGTCATCATGGAATTGAGAGAGATGCGCATGAGAGTTGAACCGACGCCGGTGCTGCATCGCTTGGCCATGATCGTGTGAGATGTGCAGCCTGTGCTGTGGCATTCAAGATACAAAATGCATGTTTTGTTATCTCAGCTTCATAGTAGAATATGCGTTCCATCCATTCACCTTGCATGAAGCATGTTTGGTATTTCACCTGTTTGCATGACTCGTGCGATGTGAGTGTTGGAGATGGGGAGCTTGCTCGATAACCTCGCACCGTGCTGTCTTGACATAGACATGATGGTCTTTCATGCAGAATGTTGTTCGCCATCGTACCATCCAGCTACATCCTAAACGGGACCTTCGCTGGTTACAACATCCCGGAAAACTCTCCGTACAACATCGGGATGACGGAAGGGGCACGGACCAACTCATACTGGTACCCGGACGCCTTTGGATATGATTACTCGGTCTACGATTACCCAGGTGAGGCTCTACCCTTCGGTTGAGATTGCTGCAAGTTACGATGTTGTGTGCACAGGCAGCATTCAAGTGCCTACTGTCAACGCCTACGAGCCCGTCAACAAGTGAGCGCCTGATGAATGAGGATTCCGGCTGCTCTGACATCAACGCACAGATTCTCTGGCCCTGGAGCTGGCATCCTCCCCTGAACCTCTCCACCAATATGAAGTTGTCAAACAACGAGTGGCTGCCAATGAACTCCGCTGCTATGGATTAAATGAGTCCTGTGAGATTGGACGCTCCTCTCGTGGAAGGGATGCTCGTCTGCACTTCGACGATTTATTCATACACACTATTTGATTCGCGAAAGTAGCGAGCGCATGCTTGATATTGCTTCTACTGCTGTTCTATTTATGCTCCGCTCGTCAAGGCCGGCGAAACAGTGAGACTGAAACAAGGCGACTACTCTACTCAAAGTAAGCAGGGACGTAAGGGACTACCTGTCACGTTGGAGTCACTGTAAGAGCAAGGCGACCAACAAGTCTCTCACCGGCCCCATGTGCCAGTAGCTCGGGCTGACGATGCTGGCAGCAGCTCCACCATCACTGTCGCTGTAGAATCCAGCTGGTTTGTGTCAGACTCAGCGCGACGCTTGAAAAGCAGGAGACGAACCATAGCAGGGAGTGTCTTCCCCGACGCAGTCGCAAGATGCGTCCTAGCCTCTCGATCACACAAGGGTACATTCGTCATCGAGACATACCAGCATTGGGGTGGATCGAGCGAACAAGATGCGAACCTAAGCGGAAGATCAAGAGTCAAGACATCAACTCGTGTCGCCCTCAATCCAACAAGAAAGATTGGGTGTGGGTGAAACCAACAAGAAGGTACGGGGGGGGCATACGGTGCATCAATGTTTCGATCTTATCCATGACTAAAAATGTTGTGGTCTGCTGGCAATGCAACACGTTCCAAACATGAAGTTCGAATGGCGGAGCAGTGTCTCAAATATTCAAAGAGCTTCCAGCACTTCAAGTTCACTGCCAGTTCAAGCAAAGAGAGCTACACAATCGATACCCTTACTCATGAGCAAACTAACAACTCGATAGCGCTGTTGTGTTAAGGTCTTATCATCGTGTCTGATTCTGCGATCGTTTGTCATCGCCTACATCTCATCTCCTATCTCACAGACTTGAAAACAAGTCTTTCCTCTGCCACCTTGTCTTCACTTCATTCTCTTGTCTTCTTCATCTCCTTACCGGCAGCATTGTTGAAGAGACGCTTACCCCTCCTCCCCACTCACGTCATTGAATTGAATCGGTTGAAACCAGGGCCATCCGATGTCGGATCAGTGACCTCCCGGTCCGAGGCTCCAGGCTCGGGCCCCGCCGGGCCGGGCCGGGCCGGGCTCAGCGGCGAGTCACTGAGTCGGACGGCGGCGGCGGCCCGCGGCGGCGGCCCGCGGCGACCGGGTCACCGATCGGGCCGACCGGGAGGGTGCTCAGTCAAGTGCGGTCACAAATAGCCGGGCCCGCCTAGCGGCAGTGCGCCGCCGTGGCACGCCTAACTCTCGGACAAGACCGTGTGGGTCAGCTTTCTCATCGTGGAAGGTGTACCCGGACGTGGATTGAAGCAGAAGGTGACACTGCTTGACGCTCCGCAAACTTGAAACAACATGGCTTCTTTTGGAGGAAGACCGCAAAGGAATCGATTGAGAAGTCGTCCGGAGATGACCCAATCACCCTGGAAGAATTGAAAGCCTACTCGGTGATTTGAAAATCTCAGCTTTGCACACTGCAACTCGCGCCGCATGATCCGATCATGTGACGAGAACCACAGGGCCGATGGTACGGTAGTCACGAAGTGCTGGAGGGTTTACTGAAATTGGATCCCAATCGGAGAATTACAGCCAAACAGGTGGGATGAGAGAGGCGGAGGGAGATAGCTAGTGAATACTTCATGGGAGAATCCGACAGCATGAAAGTGATGAAAGGACAAGATTGGAAAGGGAAAGGGATGAACCATCAAAAGTGAAGAGGTTATAGCGAGCAGCAGCGACTGAGATAGCTCGCAGGCCTTGGGGTCGTTGCGTTACTTCGACTCCTTTGAAGAAAGCTTGTGGAATGATCCCCATGCAGCCGCACCCGGTCGAGTCCGACCGTTGACCGCGCTGAGGGGGAGGAGGAGGACGGGCTCGAAGAAGCAGGATAGCTCGGGGCATAAGGTCTCAGCGGGGAGCAGCTTTAGGCGATCCGTCAACGTTCAAAACGTGGCCTCCACCATGTTCCTGGTGAAGGAGTTTGGACGCAACTTGTACCAGGCATCAAAAGATCGGACGAAAGACAAAGGGTCGGTTGGACCATCGTGAACAGACAGAGGTCAGAAGTATCCCATGGATCGGGGGTGTATATTTGTATATTATGTACATTACAATCGTCCCATCTTGGAGCTCTCAAACTCATGGCTGATGTGCATATGCCACTGACATGTCCTTGGAGAGAACCGCTCGGAGCTCTCATTCGCCATGATATTTGCATCGAACTTCCTCGTGCGAGATTGCTTGTTCTGCTACCTTTGGTGGTACGGATAGATCACGGACTACGGATAGATCACGGACTCGTCATCTGTCGCGCTCATGTACCATCTGAGCCATCTCGAGTCGATGCAAGTCCTTGCACACGGACCAGGACTATCCTCGACACCTGCTTCCCCCTGGCTCTCGCCGATGCTACTTGCCGTTTCCGAGCCGCCTTCTCGTGTAACATCCTGGTTATACCGTGCCGAGCTGGGGCCTCCCTTCTTGTACGGCCATCGCATGACTCCCAGCTTCCGGCATGCAGACTTGAGGCTGGTCAGACAGACCCCGAGTCTTTCCGCCGCTTCTTCTTGCCTCATGCAGTAGAGGGGCTCGAGCACCTGTAGGTCGATGCTGACCTCTATCGGCGGGCCGTCGATGCCATCAGGTCTTGATCTCGGGGCGACTATGACGCGCTCGGAGAAGCTCGGTGCTGAGGCGTTGCTGTTGTCGCTCTCCGACATGGCTTGGTTCGGTCGTGATGCCGCTACGAATGGAGGCTGATACCGTATCCTCCGGAAAGAGAGTGTTTTCGGCTTTAAACCAGGTGTCTGCTGATAGGCTTTAATGCGAAAACCTTGCTTTTAAGGGTTTCGAATGCATCAGACGATTCCACACCCCCATCTCGTCAACCGACACAACGGTCAAGAAGCAACCTTTGGCTTGAACCCCCTTTAGGCCATGTACGCCGAAGGCTCGCGATCGTCAGTGAAAACCAAGGTGCAGACCCCAACCGCTCGCGCATGCCACAGCAACTCATCCTCCTGCCAAGCACAGTATGGAGCCGTCTCCTCGATGCTACATGACCTCCCGCACGGCGTTGTATGGACGACGACATGCTCCCAACGCAACGATATCACAACAAATCCGAATGGGCCATCCAAGTGTTTCTTCATTCCATAACTCATATACATGTACCGGTTTATACTATCACATCGCCCCTACCGTGAGCATGACGTCATGCTCGGGCTCCCTCACACTCCCACTGCCTCTACTGACTCGGCTGTCCCGCAAAAACACTGGAGCCACTCCTCCCATCCGACCTCCTCGTCCTCCGACAAGGATATTCCGAGCTCTCGCACGACGGGGTCCTCCTGGGGGGAGGGCTGGGCGACATGGCGACGGCTGCCTCCAGGGCAGGCAGGCCAGGCTGGCTCGGACTGCGGCTCAGCTAGCGACGGTCCTGACGCGACCTCGCCGCTCAACTGAGAGCAGGAGGTAGCGAAGAACGCCATCAGGTTGTAGTCCACGTTGCTGACGAGGGCGCGGGCGTTGGTGTCCTTCTTTTTCTGTGCATAGCCCATGCTCTTGGTGTACGGCCAACGCCTGATCCCGAGCTTTCTACACGCAGACTTCAAGCTCGTCAAGCAGATGCCGAGCTGCTCGGCGGCATGTCATGCAAGACTCATCATATAG